GGGGGGGGGGGGGGGGGGGGGGGGGGGAGGTCGCAGGCGTAAGAAAAAGAAGGAAGAAGAAACCTAATAAATACCATGTGGGCTTGTAACAGATGTTAAAAAGATTGGCTTCCGGTCTGGGCTTAATTTGTAAATGTAATAAAAACCCAGTTTGAATAAGTGACATTAGAGTACCGGATGAAAAAAAAAATCGTAAGTTGTCTAGTGTGGTGACACGTGGTGCAAAAACCCCACATCAAAAAAAGTGACGTGGCTGCTTGTGTGAGCAGATGAGTCAACTTTATTATTATAGATTGCTAATTGATAGAGTTTAATATGCTTTGAACTTTTCTGTCGTGAAATTGGATTGGTGCCAGTCCCACAAATTGAAATATAAAAAGGAAAAATTGACTTTTTTAGGATAGAGAAGAACACATCACATGGGAACACCAAAGGATGCACTTAAGATTGAAATGTTTGATATGTTTTGGCACCAAAGGATGCAATTATTATTTTCTAATTAGTATTCCCAATTTGTGAGTAGCTGTAAACATCAATGACCAATGCCAGCCCATTTATTTACTCTTTTTAATACAATTCACCAACTATACAGCCAAGATCTAGTCTTAGCTTACAATTTGCAGACTATGACTCTATGTAATGTGAATTTAATATTTTTTTTAATTGTACACTGTATTTGATTATTAATTTCTTTCATATGGTATGAAATAATAAGTTACCTAGTTTGTTTATGTCCAGAGGAATGCGAATAAAAAAAACATTTTCCCAAAAACAAAGAGAAAACTAAGCTAATATGGATGGTATGGCCCGGAGAATCTAAGACGTGCGAGAATAATGAGTTAGTTTACCATATAAACAAAATAATGTTCATGTTCATTCCATTTCCACCTTATTGCAAATCATTCTGAACGAAAAAGATAGAGTTGTGAAGAAGCTGAAAGTGGTTTGCTTCCCTCTCTATAAGACATACTGAAGAGGTCTCTTAGGTGGTAGAGAAGAAAGCTTCCGAGGTAAATTCAATTTCTCTCAAATCTCATTTACCAATCTTATTTGACTCATGATGTTGCATTCGCTTTCAAGTTCCACTTCTGAATCTGTTGTAAGTGATGATCTCTAAAGGTTTCTGACTTTTTAGAATTACTCTTTTTGATATCTAAGCACATGTTCTGTATTCACGGACGGCCAAAACTTGTTTTCTTTAAGTTTGTTCAGTTGATAATGCAGATCTACATGTGTCTTAGTTTTATTTCACTTGTTTCAACAAAAGACCTGCCGTTGAACATATAGACTATCATCTACTCTGTATAGAAGTGTAATCAATATAGCCAATCATATATAAAATTCATCATCTACAGGTCATGTTTTTCTGTCTATATGTTATTTCTCGTATTAAAATTAATATATAATTGCAATATTTCTCGAAAGCGAAGTCACAAACATATTGTTTTATCAGTCTTGAGGCAGAAACAACACGCCATTAGAGAATGAACAATGTTCCGAAGAAGATGAGGAATGTTCAATATTAGAATAATAAGAGCAAAAGTCAACATCACTTTTCTACAAATAATAACGAATACAACTGTAACATTTACTTCGACTTTATCTACCAGGGGGGCATTAAGCAAGTGGATGCAATTGACTAACGATGCAACCCAACCCAAATCATAGCTTATATTTTATAAGATTAACTCTTTTCTTCACTCTTTAAATTGTTTAGATTATAATTAAATGAAACTAAGAGAATATTGTTATGCTAGCAGCCCCTGAGCTATTATATATAAAAACGAAGGAATAAAACAAGATCTAGTTCTGACATTAATATGGATCATCAAACTCAGGACACAAACCAAGATTTCTGCTAGAGGAAAAAGCATTTCCTCCATGTTCAAGTTTTGAGCATCTTCAGAGCTGTGGAGAGAAAGAAAATGTCACCATTCATGAAGTTCTTCAACTTTCTTTATGATTCCCTCCCACCTTTCTCTTGGTTTCTGGTAAATCATTTCTCCCCCCTCTGTTTCACTTAACCATGGTTCTTAATCATTTCACATTGTGTCTAATCCCTTATTTTGTTTTGGTGTCCTAAGGTCCAAAGACACAACTTAGCATCATCCTCAGAGACAGATGAGGTTGTTAGAAGTGGCATTATTGGAGAAATTATATACATTTGGAAGGAGACAAGAATCTTTGTCTTTATACCAATCTTGAAGTTCTTAGTGACAATGTGTCTGGTGATGTCATTTTTGCTATTCATAGAAAGAGTTTATATGAGCGTAGTTGTAGTGGTTATCAAATTACTTAGAAGAACCCCTGAGAAAGTACACAAATGGGAAGCTATAAACGATGATGATCTTGAGTTAGCACACACAAACTACCCAATGGTTCTTATTCAGATCCCAATGTACAATGAAAAAGAGGTAAGATTTTCATAATTTCTTCTAACCAAAATTTATTATATAAATATACATATACAGAAACATGGTTATTGCTGTCACAGGTGTGTCAGTTATCTATAGGAGCAGCCTGCAGGCTATCTTGGCCGTTGGATCGTATGATAGTTCAAGTTCTTGATGATTCCACAGATCCAGCTAGTAAGGTCCTTTGTTCAATTTCTTTCTTTCTTAAACTCTTTAGTTTATATATATTATGACTAACTCAACATCTGTGGAGAGTTTTAACATTATGAAATGATTTGGAAAAGACAGGACCTGGTGAATGCAGAATGCGATAAATGGGCTAGAAAAGGTATAAACATAATGTCGGAGATTCGAGATAACAGACTCGGATACAAAGCAGGAGCGTTAAAGGCAGGAATGATGCACAACTATGTGAAACAGTGCGAGTTTGTTGCCATTTTCGATGCTGATTTTCAGCCTGATCCTGACTTCTTGGCTCGAACCATTCCTTTTCTAATTCACAACCGTGAAATCTCCCTTGTGCAGTGCCGTTGGAAGTTTGGTAAGATCATCACCGATCTTTTGGAAGTGTAATGGTTATGTTTGGCTAACAATTTGTGTCACATATGTAGTGAATGCAAACGAGTGTTTAATGACAAGAATGCAAGAGATGTCATTAAACTACCATTTCTTGGCTGAGCAAGAATCTGGATCTTCAATACATGCTTTCTTTGGATTCAATGGAACTGCTGGTGTTTGGAGAATCGCTGCTTTAAATGAAGCTGGAGGATGGAAAGATAGAACAACAGTGGAAGACATGGATTTAGCTGTAAGAGCTTGTCTTCATGGTTGGAAGTTTGTCTATGTCCATAACGTCGAGGTACTACTCGTGCTTGATTCGCGTTTGTTCACAACAATAACTTTATAATTCAATTTAAAGTGTTCTTTAAAAAATTTCATTGAAGATACTTAATTTTCAAACAATTCAGGTGAAGAATGAATTGCCAAGCACATTCAAAGCATACAGGTTTCAGCAACATAGATGGTCTTGTGGACCAGCTAACCTCTGGAGGAAAATGACAATGGAGATTCTACAGAACAAGAAAGTGTCTGCATGGAAGAAGTTGTATCTCATATACAATTTCTTCTTCATAAGGAAGATTGTAGTACACATCTTCACATTTGTCTTCTACTGTCTGATCTTACCAACAACTGTGCTGTTCCCTGAGCTTGAAGTTCCTAAGTGGGCAACAGTTTATGTTCCTAGTACAATCACTCTCCTTAACGCTCTCGCTACACCTCGGTAACAATCTCTAGCTCGTTAAAAACTCTGTTTTCTCATGTCCTCTTATGAAGTTAATGTTTGATGAATACTTGTCAAATGCAGATCACTCCATCTTCTAGTGTTTTGGATCTTGTTTGAGAATGTAATGTCTATGCACCGCACAAAGGCGACGTTCATCGGGTTACTAGAAGCAGGACGGGTTAACGAATGGGTTGTTACAGAGAAACTAGGCGATACACTCAAGTCTAAGTTAATAGCCAAAGCTACAACAAAGCTCTATACCAGATTTGGAGAAAGGTACTACATTATTACAACACACAATTAAAATTAATTTGATTGTTATAACTATTATAATATATAGTTAATTATTTTTGCAGAATCAATTGGAGGGAACTCGTTGTTGGGTTATATATATTCTGCTGTGGATGCTATGATTTCGCCTATGGAGGATCATATTTCTATGTTTATCTGTTCTTACAGGCTTGTGCATTTTTTGTTGCTGGAGTTGGTTATATTGGCACCATTGTTCCTATTGGTTAGAGAGACTTGGTTTTGAGAAACAAATGTTTATTTTCGCTACTGATGTTAGAATCAAATAGAGATTTGGATGTTGGATAAACAATGTTAACTATTTCAGTTTTCACACCCAAATGTATTACTACTAGTAACTGTTTATGTTGTAATGATCCAAGATGTGGCTGTGAAGGCTACAAGTGAATCTCTCCTTAATCATATTATACCTACTAACATTTATGGTTTGTATTGTTAGCCAGCATGTTCAATCCTGAATAACTTAAAACCAAACCAAAATAACCAATCCGAAAAACTGATCTTTTTTGTTTTGTTTTGGTAATCTAAATCATGTCTACATTTTTGATATCTATCAATACTATTAAAACAGAAGCACTTTTTATCTACTTACAAGTAGTTTACCTCAAAACATTACATTTATTTAATTTTGTGTATGTTACATATAATAAACTTAGTTATTATTAAATAACAACATAATATTAATATAATGTTTAAATATATTCAAAATAAGATATCAAAAAGATACTCTTAACTACTTTTTTTCAGATTACATTTTAACAATATCTTTCATATATATTTTTATTTTAAAAATAAATATTTATTGTTTTAATATTATTTTAATAATAAAAACGTAAATAATATTAAATTAAATTATAAATAAGTATTAACTCATTTTGATTTATAGAATAAGAACTAACTTTCTATAACATTTATATATAAATATTTCATATTTGTAACTAAAAATTACACAAAATAATAATTATAAGATAAATTAATCAACTTTATAAATTATAAACTAGATGAATTATATTTACAAAATAACAAAATACTACCATAAGATATTAAAAATGAAATAATTTTATATTTTAATATACATATCTAAACTAAAACATTAGGATATGAAAAATTAATATTTAATTATATGTAACTGATACACAAAAATAATAATAAACAATTTTTTTTTCAAGCCTCCACCAATACATAATAATATAATTATCATAGATAAAGTCTTAAAATCGTTTATATATATATATATATAGATTTTTTTATAAAATAAATATTAATAATAGCTACTATTAATATTTAATTATATTATGAAAAATGTTATTACTGATATTTTTATGATTATAATTTTACTTATTCTAATAAACAGACAAATTATTTATCAAATATAAAATTATTTTAACAAAATATAAAACATAATATAAGTTATGCCTGGGAATTCAAGTACCTATTGGGATACGGGTCGAATATTTTGAATCAAAGCTAATTTATATCACATCATAGGTGTCATAATATGTAAGTAGACATGTTTGTAAGTATGGATCAGATTCAAATAGAACAAGTCGGGTTTGGTTCTAATTTGTACACATCCTAAAACCGATAAAGCAAACATATATCGTTCGGATTCGGGTTATATTGGTTTGGCAATCTAAAACCAAAACAAAAGAAAGATATTTATTTTATAGAATTGGATATTAAAGTACTTAGTTAAAATTTAGATGATTAATTTTAAATATCATTTTAAAATAAATATAGAACTGAATATTTAAACTAGATATTATGTTTCAAATATTTATATTTATGATTAATTTAGACATTCAGATCGATTCAGATTTGTTTCCAGATTTTTTGGTTTTTGGGTTATTAGTTCGGGTCTGGCTAATAACACTTTGATTTGGATATATTTTGTACCACCCTACTAAATTCATTCTGATATATTTTAAATTTTTGACTGGCTACGGATCCAATTTTTTTTTGTTTAGATTGAGTTTAGACGTCAAGTTATGGATTTTATGCACATGTCTACTTTATATTAAGCAAAAATGCGGTCATATAAAATTTCCACCGAAAGATTATCCTGCAATTTTAAAAAGACTATGTTTGATGAAATTAAAGAACTAAACAAGTTTATCCCACATTTCTACATGTATAGGAAATGCGATCAAAATCTAGTCTATTATATTAAAAGAAAAGTCACAACTTCTCTTCATGTGTAATATTTTTTAAAATGGACCATTCCTAGGAAGTAATGTTTCATTTATATCTTACTAACATTTTAGATAACTTAATTATAATATCTTTTAATATATTTTCTTTTATTTGAGATAAAATAATTGATATATTTTCTTTTATTTGAAATAAAATAAATATTTCAAAGATAATTCTAACAAAATCTTTTAGAATCTTTTTTTTTTTGAAAAATATACTAGATTTTTTAAAAATGAATAGATATCAATTCATTTTAATTAGAAAAGGACACAAGTGAACTTTATTCGCAAATAAAATCGAGTTAAATAAGAATAGGAAATATTTTTATTAGCTTTGTGTTTCACTTAACATTGGAATATGTCAATTATTTTTATTAGTTTGTGTTAAAAATGAATGACATAAATTTTAATGTTATATGATAGACATATTTAAAGACATGACTTATACCTGATATAAAGTAAAAAAAAAAAGCACACATAAAATAAGTCTGAAATCAATATTCTTTATGTACAATGTAAAATGCATTTTTGAAAATTAATCATCTTAAACTGTTATTATCATTAAATATAATTAAAATATTTATATAATAAAAATATTTATATAATTAACTTTTCTTTATAATCAAAACGAAATTAAAATTTAATTACTAATACGGTTTACTGATAATTAATATTGAAATTAACTAATTTGGAAATAAAATTTAAAAATATCCTAAAAAGATTTTAAAATATTTTGTTAGAATATTCTTTAAAATATTTTTTTTTTGTATTTCAAACAAAAATAAAGATATTATAACTAAACTGTATAAAATATTATAAATTTTATAAAAATGGTTCAGATTAAAAATCACACATAAAAAAAAGTCTTGACTTCTATTATATTATTTTACATAATATTTTATGTGTAATAGAGAAAGTGGTGAATGATAGACAAAATTGGGTGGACCGTACTATTAGTGACATATTAATAGTATTGTATTTACATGTTTTCTTCTTCTTTCATAAAATTTAAATTATCATAATATAATTAAAAATTAATTGTGAACTATTTGCTACAAATTTATCACATTTAATCATTCTATCATTAATGTTAATATTAAGCTTACTTTAAACCCCATACTGTCAACATATGTCAGTAGATGTATGATCGTTTAACTATACACAAAATAACATCATCATGATCATATTTTTACAAGAGTTTCATAACGTCAATTTTTTTCTTATACACTTGTTCTAAGTCGCAATTCATGTCTCTTGGTCGTTTTCTTGTATACATGTTTCTTGGATTATTAGCCTTTTAACATCTTTCTTTCATGAAATTCTCTATCCATATTTATATCATGATGTGCTTCAGTTCATCACTCATTGGACATCATTTTTGTCCATGAATTCATATATTGCTCTGACTAATATATATATCCCTACTATTGATCGTTTTATATGTAGAAAAAACAACGAATTAAATTTTATATTGTTAGCCTTGAACATGAACATTGATATCTTTGTAAATTTTTTTTTTTTCTGTAAACCCAACACAATAAGCATTTGGAGAAGATGAAAATGGTACCATATTAATTATTAACAAGAATATTAAAATCAGATATTAAAAATCATATAAATTAATATAACATATTAATTATTAACAAGACTATTCAAATCGGATATTAAAAGTCATGTAAATTTGTTCTTAAAATTCATACAAATTTGTTGAATTTTTAAACAAGATCTCAACTTTTAAAGTTTTATGTAAATATTTTCATCTATTTCATTAAAATAGAAGTCATGACTTTTTATAATGTGTGATATTTTAGTTGGACATTCCCTTTCAAATTTATAAATGTAACTATTTAAGACTAATAATATATAATCTTTGTAATTATTTGAATCATAGTATCTTTTGAGATCTTTCATTTTAAAAATCTAATAAATTCATTAATTTCCTAATTAATAATAAAATATTATTATACCTTAATATATATATATATATATATATTCAGTATCGTATATAAAATGAAAAATAAAATTTTATCATAATTTTATTTATTTTATAATCATAATCTATCTTATTAAAATAATTATTATATGGAGCTAAATATGATAAAGTTATATTAACATGATATATTAATATATTTTTTTTCATAAATCTTATATTTATATTGAAATAATATAATATGTTGTCAAAACGGGTTAACATAGTATACTATATAATACATGTATACAAATTAACATATCTTAAATTTATATATATATGAAATTAACACCCGCTCGGTTGAGTGGGTCAAAAATCTAGTTTGAATAAATGAATTCTAATTCTAACTATTTAAATAAAGTAACAAAAAAGATCTGTTCTAACACCAAACCAAAAACATATTTAATCAAAGCTTAAACTGAAAACATTTCTCAAAAAAAAAAAAAACATATTGTGCAACTAAAAACTCAAAAAGAAATGAATAATCTAAAGTTAAACCAAACCGAAATTGCTCAATAGTGTTCTGTAGAGAAGAAAATTGTACAAGTCAACGTCAAATGAACAAGGGTAAGGACGTGTCAAGTTATAATAGGAGAGATGGCATCGACCACCCATCAATTCGCATGTAAACCGCGGTAAGCTCAAGTCACCTCCACGGAAAAACATTGGTCTTTCAAAGGGCATTTTAATCATGAATTGACGTTTTAGTCCTCCGCCTCTATAAAGCATCTTCACCGTTTTAACAATTAAGCGTTGTTTCGAAGCTCTTCAAACCCCGTCTCGTTGTTACGCCATCTCTCTCTCTATTATCGATCAGATCATCTACGCAGAGGTAGGTTTGAGATCTGGATCTATGATGCTAACATGCATTCTCAATCAGATTGATCACATTTTTTTTTTTTCATTTTGGGAATTGGATCTCTCTCTCTCTCTCTTGCTTTGATTTAGGTTTGTGTGCTCTCTGAGATTTCGATTTGTTTTGGTTTTGAAAATTTTAACGATTTTGATCTGAAACTGCGTCGTTTAAGTCTGGATCGATGAAAACCACATATAGATTGATCGATCTATAAGATGTGATGAGTATTAGGTTTTGCATTTTGCTTGGATCTTTGTTAGAACCTAATCGCTGGATGCATTGCTTTGTGATTACGCTGCTCTGCTCTGATATTCTCATTTTGTGGTAGTGAAGAAGCAGGGATGGGATTGTCTTTCGCGAAGCTGTTTAGCAGGCTTTTCGCCAAGAAGGAGATGAGGATTCTCATGGTTGGTCTTGATGCTGCTGGTAAGACCACCATTTTGTACAAGCTCAAGCTCGGTGAGATTGTCACCACCATCCCCACCATTGGTAAGCTACACTATCTTAGCAATAGGTGTTTAGCCATGTTCACACCGTTGACTTTTTGCGTAGAACGGCCTTAATGAATAATAAACTACACGACAGGGTTCAATGTTGAAACTGTGGAGTACAAGAACATCAGTTTCACTGTCTGGGATGTCGGGGGTCAAGACAAGGTATTATTTATCATTATCCGACTTTAAATGCATTCTCAAGTTCTATTGCACCCTCTGCATCTTTTTGAACTGCACATGGTATAATATAACCTGCTGCATTTGTTGTTAGATTCGTCCATTGTGGAGGCACTACTTCCAGAACACTCAAGGTCTTATCTTTGTGGTGGATAGCAATGATAGAGACCGTGTTGTTGAGGCTAGAGATGAATTGCACAGAATGCTTAATGAGGTTCGGTTCTGTTTCCACTGTTTATCTTCCTCTTTATTGATTCCATCTGTGTAAGTAAAACTTACTTAAAAACGGGTGTTTTATACAGGATGAGCTGCGTGATGCTGTTCTGCTTGTGTTTGCTAACAAGCAGGATCTTCCAAATGCCATGAACGCAGCTGAAATCACTGATAAGCTTGGTCTCCACTCTCTCCGTCAGCGTCACTGGTATTAATGAATCATCTAAATCCTTTCCTTATTTGTTTTCTTTATTATGATGTATTTATAATTTTATATGTATATGGAACCCTCTCTCTCTGTTCAGGTACATCCAGAGCACATGTGCCACTTCAGGCGAGGGACTTTATGAAGGTCTTGACTGGTTGTCTAACAACATCGCCGGCAAGGTATAAATGTCCCCAACACCGTGATTTATTATGTTTTTATTTTTCCCGTATATTTGTGCAAGTTGTAATTGTTGTCTTCTGTGTTCTTGTTGCTTGTTTCTTGCAGGCGTAGAGAGAAAGTTTGTGTGGTTGAGTTGATTTTGCTGGGCAAATCTGGATGCAGGGGCAAAACAGTATCTGAATTTTCTTTTCTTCCAGTTTTCTTATATTTTTTTTTTCCGTGTATGTGGATTGATTTTGTGATCGTTGTTATAACTTGTGTAAGGAGGGAGGGGCCTCTTGTACGTAGAACACAGAAACTACCTTATTACATAATAAACATTAGCTTGTTATCCAAGATTTACTCTACTGCTTTCTTTGTCACATTTTACTTTTGCTTTTCGATTCATGTAAGTTGAAACTGCGGCTACATTTGATTGGTAATAATAGACATCATTGGCACTGTTCATGTGCTATTGATATGTGTTTGTGCTATATCAAAACTGTGTCCAACTGTAAGATAATGAAATTTAAATTATGATTTCCAAATATCAAATGACTCATGGACTATTATTAATGGTAGATATTCAACTTTCCATTTTGACTAGGAGGATATCTGCAAGGGCGATAATCCCTTACTTATTAATCAAGAAGCATTTTAAAAACCTAACCTTTATTTTGTATTTTATTTACAAGTTTGCCATTTTAGCTTAGGTATCATCACTAGAGGTCTTCTCAACTAAGTTATTTAAAAAACTAACATTTACTAGAAGAATTACAAATTATGCCATTGGTAACCATATAATATATTTACATTTTTAAATAACAATACATGACATTATTTGTTAACAAATATGTGACGTTCCTAAAAACGATAATTCTCTTGTGTTCCTAATTTTCACTGTGTCTTCCATATCTTATATCATATTCAGCTACATCGTAATATTTTGGAATGAATTCTAAATAATTTCAACGCATATCTTACTTGAACCATTATGAACAATATCCTTCATAATGCATAGTTTATTCGTATGGACCATCATAAAATTACAGACACATGAATAACCAAAAATTCAACATCATTCAATTGTTCTATGCATAATTCTTCCATTCTTCAAGTAATTTGCATACAAAACTAAACAGCAAAGTCAATTTATACGAATAAAATAAACAAGATCAACAAGCTCGATGTGCTCTAATATGAAAGTTGTATTGAAAATTGAAATATACTGCTAGGTTAATTTTTAAATGCTAAACTTTCTGGACACGTTAATTTCAAACTTTACTTATTTAGAAGAGTGTAATTTGGTAAGAACTGATTCTCTGCATAAGTAATAATATACTCTTCTGACATTCGTAAGGTACATATTTTCATTTATAAATTATCCCAAAATTAATCCCTATAGTTAAATGAAAATGTATAAGGCATAAATTATGGACAATCAAGATTAACTATATCTGTTCATTTAGTACCTATATCTGTTTATTAGTTATAGGTTAGAAATCACATTAACCCTAGGACTTCATACACTTATATTTAAACAAAATTTATATGCATTGCTATTATTCTCAACAAACAAAAATATGTTCTCAAATTTTTTATGTGAACCAGAAATTCCAGAAATCAAGCCTTCAGATCCAAGTTATAACATTCACATTTTGAAATATATACTAAATTCAGTTTTGGTTGCAATGTTCGCTAATACTAAAAGACCTTATAAATCACAATTTTCTATTTCAGAGTTCCAAGAACCAAACCCTCGCAAATAATAGAGCCCAAAAATCTATCAACTTCAATTTTTTGGTGTGAAGATGAAACATATTTATCAGTTTGTTTCGGGTTTCATATTTTCAGGGTTAAAGATTTCTGTCTCATATGAATTTAAAGTTTTTGATTCGGATCCTTGCAGGTTCGGCTCTGGTTCTGGTTCAAATAACATGTTTAAATTATTTTTAAAAAAATAATTCATATATACTTTAAGGTTATTAAAATCTAAAAATAAAAATAATTTATAACATATAGATTTGAATAAAGTGTGCCAAAATATCTAATCATAACATACAAATTGGTTTGGCTTAAGTATTTGGATCTTTGCGGGTTTTTCCGGGTTTCAGATTTTTTGGGTTAACGATTTTTGCCCCATTCGAATATTTATATATTTCATTTCAAGTTTGGTTTGAATATTTGTGGCTTTTTTTAGTGTTCGGTTAAAATATTTTCGGGTTCGGATAAATCTTTTAAATTATTTTTAATAATTTAAAATTCATATATATTCAAGGCTCTCAAAATCTAAAAATTAAAATAATATATAACATATAAATTTGAATAATGTATGCCAAAATACCTAATCTTAACATAAAAATTGGTTTAACTTAAATATTCAAATTTTTGTGGATTTGGATCGGGTTTTGGAATTTTGGGGTTCAAAATTTTAGTCTTATTCAGATATTTATCAATTCCGGCTTGGGTTTAGTTTGGATCTTTGAAAGATTGGTTTAGGCTCAGCTCAGATTTTTTTCGGGTTCGATTCGGTTTTGGATAATCTGTTTAAATTATTTTAAAAAATTCAAATTCATATATACTTTTAGGTTCTCAAAATATAAAAATAAAAAATAATATGGTTTGCTTCGGATCTTTGCGGGCTTGGTTCGGGTTCAGAAAATCCATTTAAATTATTTTTAAAAATTAAAAATTTATATATAATTTAAGGTCCAAAATAATATATAAAATATAAAATTGAATAATGTGTGCTAAAATATTAATCTTAACATCAAAAAAATGAGTTGGCTTAAATATTTTAATAGGAAATTTATAGATATTTCAAATATTTTTATTATTTTGAGTATTTGTTAGCTATTTTAGACATTTATTTGTTTTTATATATTCAAGATTTTTAAAAAATTGCAAAAAATTATATACTTTGTATATATTTTTTATATTAAATGTAAAAATAATTAATATATTTAAGTATATAAATCTGATCCAGACATATTTAATTACTCGGAATATTTTAGTACGCGTTGGGTTTTCTAGATACCAGAGTTTAAGTCTATCCGAATATTTAACCAAATTCATTCTGGATTAAGCACTACTTTTACTGATCTGCTTCAGTTCGATTTTTTGGCTCATATTTTCGCCAAATCCTATAAAATATAAATTCAAATTATATTTCTTATATATTTTTACTCCGCGCAAGGCGCGGGTCTCCACCTAGTTAAAGTAGTATTTGAGATAAGAACCTAGATAATGGTAAGAAGCCCAAACAATACGAAACCCGCTGCGGGACCCCCGAAGCCTATAGCCATCTCTAGACTACTAAGAATATTTCCAATATATTAAAATAGAGTAAAATAAAATATGAAGTAAAAATGTTCTCATCCATTTTATTTCTCACTCTATTATATTGAACAAATAAAAAATAAATTACTCTATTTATAGAGTAAACTTCATTATAGAGTAAAAAATGAATTAAGATTAGAACACTTTTTACTTCATAATCATTTTTACTATAGTTTGATGAATAAAACTGAGTTGGATTGGGGATATCCTAATATTAAAGGAGAATATTCATTTCTCATGCGTATTTAATATCATAGTAAATATTAAAGATTCTCACAAAAGTTGATTGCGTTAATTTGATTTGTTTCCCATAATTGACTGAAATAAAAATCAGTGGAGTTTTACAATCTTCTTTGAACTCTACGTATGTATAAATACGAGTCTTTCTTTTGAGGTCGAATATACCACCTTTTCAATTTGTCCACAAATATTCATAAAAATAACAGATACCGAAAATATGAATTTCTCTTTACTTTCTACTATGTTATTAGCATTAGTCTTGTTCTCTGTTGGTTATGCTCAAGAACTTTCAGGAAATGCAAAAGTTTCTGCACTATTCGCTTTTGGAGATTCCATACTCGATACCGGAAACAACAACAATCTCATGACTCTTTCCAAATGCAATTTCCCTCCCTATGGTAGAGATTTTGCTGGTGGAAAAGCCACTGGAAGATTTGGAAATGGACGAGTTTTCTCAGATCTAATTGGTATATAACTTAACGTTAACACTTTTTTATATATTCTTTACAGCTAGCTAGATACAACTACATGGTTGCTTTCAATAATAATCATGATCTTACTATTTATCCATTTTATATCTCACCAACATTAGTCTTTTTATTGTGTAGCCGAAGGTTTGAGCTTAAAACCTCTCTTACCAGCTTACCGTGATCCAAACCTTTCCAACAATGATCTCTTGACCGGTGTTTGTTTCGCATCCGGTGGTTCCGGTCTCGATGAACGCACTTCCAGTTCACAAGTAAAACAAAATTATGTCTAGAGTCTTAATTAATCATTCATTTATTAATGTGTTATATATCTTGTGGAATGTACGTATGTCTATAGGGAGTTATATGGGTGACAGATCAGGTGAAAGATTTCAAAGAGTATGTGACTAAACTAAACGGCGTTGTAGGAGGAAACCAAGAACAAACAAACGCAATTATATCAAACGCCGTTTATTTAATCTCAGCTGGTAATAACGATCTTGCCATCACCTTTGCGACTGGGAGGGCACAATCCACTGTTTCAGATTACACTGATCTCATGGTCACTTGGACTGATAATCTCTTAAAGGTACATATCATTGTGTCAATGACAATATTACTTTATTTTCTGTGGTCAAAGTAATTACTTATTTATATTTTCTATTTTATTATTTGAAGAGTCTATATGATACTGGTGCAAGAAAATTTGCGGTTCTTGGAACATTACCACTAGGTTGCTTGCCAGGAGCAAGAGATGCGGCTGGAAATTTTATGAAAGTATGTGCAGGTCCTGCAAATCAGTGGGCTGATACATTCAACAAAAAGTTAGCAACGAAACTTAACAATCTCGGGACAACACTTCCTGGTGCCAAATTTGTCTACGTAGACATGTATAATTCTCTTCTTGGTCTCATCAACAATCCTCAGGCTCCAGGTAACAGCTTTACTCAATGAAAAAGCCCAAATAGTTGTACCTTGTGTCATTTTATAGCCATGTTTCCAAAAATGATATATCCTTTGTTTTTGGTCTAAAGAATAATCTGTTTTCTACTTCATTGGATTTTTTTAGGGTTTACTGATGAGGCTGATGGGTGTTATATGCCGTCTATGTCTCCTGTTCCTTGCCCGGATGCATCTCGTTACGTGTTTTGGGACATTGGCCACCCTAGCGAGAAGTCATATCAAAGGATTGCACCAAAGATTATTGAACAACTCAAGGCGAAACTCGCATGATCTATTTCTGCATTTATTTTCAAAAGTTATAGTTAGTATCCATTTTATGTTCCATTATTCATAGATTAATAAAAAGTTGTCACAAAATACAAAACCAGTGTTCGTTTCTTTTAACAGACACTAGATTTTGACCCGCGCAACCGCGCGGGTGTTTGTTTCGTTTATAAATAGTTATATAAATATTTTGTTTTCACTTGTAAATTGGTATATAATACTATATATTATAGTAATCACATATTTACGATATGTATAATAAATGTTTTTCAGACATAATAATATTATATAATCCGTGTTTTATATCAAATAGATTGTTTCAAATTTTCTATATTATACATGTTTTTCAAACATGTGTTTGTTTCTTCTTGTGTATTTTATTGTTTCTTAGATTAGTATTTCATTTTTAGATAAAGTAATATAAATAGAGCTTGATTAAATATTAGTATACTTTAATTTGCAAAGATAATATAAGCATCGAAATTGTTTTTGCTAAAACTAAACTTATAGCTTCATAAATTAATATTATATAAATTTTATTATAAATAATTTTTTAAACAATTTATTTTTTAAAACAATATAGAACTCCTCGAGACTTATCCAAGAAATCAGGGAGAATTTTTAAAAATTACATCAAAATAAATTTATCTAGTATATATAGCGTGTAAATTTTGTTAGGGTATATAGATATTACATATTACGAATCTGTGATTTTTGTTAACATATTGTGGATACATTTAAATATTATTGACATATTTCCTTATAAATAATAGAAGATTTATAAACTTATATCTATTGACATATTTTGCGTGACTAAGTTGGAAGGTGTTGAGGTAATTTACCAAAACTAAATTGTTAAGCGTATCTTTGTTATTATAGATATGATTTTTCATAAGATATAATAATGATAAGATATTAGAGAGTTAATGTAACATGACTTTCTAGTAATAGTCCATTTTTTAAAAAATCACACATGAAGTCAAGTCATGACTTCTGTTTTAATATATAAGATTTGGGGATCTTTTCTATCGAGTCAGTAACCTATGTCTTCTGTGGACAAAGTTTGTACTTATATAAAGATTAGCTTCACCATCAATCAAACAAGAGGAATTAAAAATCAATACTAAGTACAAAATCGGTAATTATAGACGTGAGATATTGGTTATGTTTGAACTGCACCTTAATTACGTCTACATACGGCTAAGAACAAAAGATAAGAAAGTGGGCAGCTCAGTTCTCGTGACTTCGTTCTTGACGTTCAAAGGAGAGATATTATTTCAGACTACACAAGCCATTCCATAATGAATGACGGACCATGAAATGGAAATCAATATAATAGAGAACTAGTCACAAACTTATGACACTCTAGTCAAAAGAATTAAAATGATTATAAAATACTCTAGTTACAAACTTATATATATAGATATATATATTTATTGCGTATAATAATTTATGCTAGTGTTTGTCATGTCTGGAGCTTGAAACTCTTTATAAGAATAATTAGATTTTGACCCGCGCTTCAGAAGCACAAAAGTTTTTATAGTTAAAAATTTATATAATTAGGTTTTGTCTTAATTTAAAGAATGTTTTGGTATAAAATTAGTTTACCAAAATTTGTGGTGATAGTTTTTTTTCAGTAGTTTTTAGTTTCAGTTTTTATTTTTAGATTTTGTTTTAAATTTTGGTTTTTGGTTTTTGGTTTTTAGTTTTTAGTTTCTATTTTTGATTTTCAGCTTTTGGTTTGGGTTTTTAATTTTTAGACCCGCTGAGTTAGTTTGAACTGATATTACCAACAAACAAATCTCAATTAATCGAACATGTAATTCAAAACTGAAAAGATGACAAAATAATTTTCTATAAATTTTGAAATAGTTTATTTTGTAAATAAAAAAAAACAAAAAATTTAATCTGCGTTTTCAGCTTTTGGTTTTGGATTTTAGTTTTTAGATTTGGTATTTGGTTGTGCTTTACATTTTTTTTTAAATCTGTAAATTATTTAAGAAAAATAAAACAATAAATTACTTAAAAGTTACCATTAAAACTTATCAAGATAGAGGGATTTTTATTTAAAATAAAAAATATTAACATGTTTTAAAGTAGATGATTTAAATAAGTGATTAATAATAGATAATTTTATTTTGTTGAAAATATTAAATATTTTTGGGCTAAAAAATATTAACATGTTTTAAAATACATGATTTAAATAAGTGATTAATAATAGATAATTTTGTTTTGTTGAAAATATTAAATATTTTTGCGTCTGAAAATAGTAATTGATTTTTGATCCATTAAGGTGGAAAATTTATTTAATGTTTTTTGGAGTTTTTCTTTAAAACTAAGCCCAAAAACCAAACAATTAAATGTCATAAAAACAAAAGTAAGCCCAAAACTCTATTCCATAAATAACCGCCGGTTTAATTTAAGTAATGCGGTTCAATCAACTATATAACTTATATTATTTGTAACACTGTAGAAAGGGTCCAAATTTAAATGACAACTTGTATCAGTAGATAAAAAGAATGACTCTATTTTAATAGAATAGATATAATCTAGAGATTTTATTGAGGTCAACTCACTAAGCTTAGTACCAGTAGGCTATATGTTTGAAATTTGGCATTTGAAATCAGATGAAACATAAGTTTGTATATAAATAATGTACAGCATTCAATATATATTGATTTTGAGTTAAAATTCATGAAAACTTCAAGAAAAGAAGTCCAATATTCTAGGCATGCAGAACTGTATGCGAGACTATCTGCCTGGCAAGCAACCATATTTAAATTAATCTTGACATGAATACATATTTCTTGTTTTGAATGCATATAAGTTGACATGAATGCATATTTCTCAAACACTCATATATTTAGACACTAGTGATATTCCGGCACTACGGACCGAGTTCGTATGTTTTATTATTTAATGAGTTCAAAATTGTTTGTAACCATGAAATTATCAATATCTATGGATAATCTTTTACATTGTGTGTGCATGTTCTTTCACCTGCGTCGTATGATGTTGTTGAGAGATGTTAAAAGTAGATGGTTGATACGGGTTTCTAGCAAACATATATTGAGTTATTGTGTTTTGTAGTTGTTGGACATTTTTTATTTTTGTTGTTTATTATGATATATAGTTGTTTCTACTAAATAGTAAATTAGCTATTTGTTCTAGAGGAGACTGCATTATGCATTAAGGTACTATATCTTCAAAAGTATATTAGTAGAAAAGAGAGGTTTCTGTTTCTAATTATTCAACGTTTGTCTTCAGTTGTTTTATTGCTGATTTTTAAATTATAATTTTGTTATAATTTGCTAATTATAATTTAATTTTAAGCCAATAGATGTATACTTCTATAATTTTACAGTTATTTGGTTTTCGTTGTTGGATATGCCGAAGAGAATAAATAGGTTCTCGTGATATTTGAGTGTGTAGTGAAGAAGACGAATATCATGTGCCAAAGAAGGATAAGCATTTATATCATTTACATTTTCTTTTGTGTGCTCCAGTTATGGCTATTCTGTTAGTTGTTAGTGGTAATAGTCTTAATTTTTCTTAATGTAAGAGCAAATTGCATGTGAATTTTGAAACTTTGATTGTAGACGATTTGAGATGAGTGATGAAAGAGTGAAGGGACATAAAAACAACTTTATTTATTTGGGCTAAGTTTGGCTTATTGTCAATTTGAAGTTAGATGTTATATTTCATGTGAATGTAATTTGCGACGTTGTTATGTCGTTGGTTTACGCCATAGTTTTTTTGTTGTGAATCATTTTTCTTGTCTATTAACGTATTTTTTTTTGTCACATTTCTTGTTATGTTTAAAATTTTTTGGTGTAATGTCATAGGAAATCCATTTAGTATGAAAGGTTTCCTATGAATGTTATGCATTTATCTTATTAAAGAAAAATACAAATAAAAAATATCTCTATAACTTACCATTTATTTACAAATCAATATCACTGAAATACTAAATAACCATAGCTTTAAATAATATTTTATTTTATAATTATTACGTCCTTTCTTAAAATAATCTATACTATTATTTGCGAAGTGATTTTTCGCAACGGAGCTCTCACGTTAAAAGTTAGTCTAGTTAATATCGTTTATACCCTTAATGAATAATTAAAAAATTCAATATATAATTAAACATAAATAAAAAACGAATTTCAATTGATTTTAGATTTATCTTTATCTAAAACTTTTTATATTGGGTTATAAAGTCTTTATTAACCTTGAAAAATAATTATATTTGTTAATATATAATTAATTATAAATTAAAAACGAATTTCATTTATTTGATCACTATCCTTATTTTTAAAAATATATATTATGTTTATCAACCTTGAAAAATAATTATATTTGTTAATATATAGTTAATTATAAATTAAAAACGAATTTCGTGAATTTGATAATTATCCTTATCTAACTTTTTATATTATGTTATAAAGTCTTTATTAACCTTTAAAATTAATTATATTTGTTAATATATATTTAATTATGAAAAAATCAATTTGAAAATAATATATGTATAGATAATTTATATTGTGTTATCCAAAACATTACTAAAGTTAATTTTATTATACTTCTTTTTGTTATGTCTAGAAAACATATTAATTTATTACTAAATATTTTAAATTTATGAGAATTTCACATTTAATCTGTGCAATGATAATTATATATATGATGATGAAAATTTTTACATATAGAAAGAATCTGTTTAGATTATTATTAAATGTTTTGAGTGTATGCACAATAATTTATTATAATTTACTTAAATTTATTATATATTTGTTTATAAATATTAGTAAAATTATTAAGCCCGCAAGTGCGGGTAAAACACCTAGTTATAATTAACAAAGAGTTAGACATGAATAAAATAAAATCAACACTATATTTATTTTGTAGGTTTCAACAATATCACAATAAACAGAATACTCTAAAATTAAAATTAAAAATATTGTGGCTAACATCGTGTATTTTATTATTTTTGTATATTTTCGTATAAATAATATTTAAATGTAAATTCAATATTATAAATGTGAAATAGTATAAAATATATAGAAAATATTTAGCCTAGTATTAAAATTAGATATTTAAATAAGATGATAGGAAATAAAAGATTTTTATAATTGGGCCTAATATAAAAATTAATTAACATCCAAACAAAATAAAAGATATTTATAATTGAGCTTTAAAATTATTCAACAAATTATAGAATGAAAAGTATCAAATTTTGTCTTCCATGGAGAAAAAAGGAAGTCTACTTTATTAATAAAGAAGATGCCATGTTGCCGTTAGAAACAAGCCATATGATAGCCATATAAAGTATGAGAGACGACAAACTAAACATGCTTACTTGTTATACTTACATTGTTTGGTGAAAGTAACGATTTTTTTAACTTTAAAAATTAAATGCTCTTCGAATTTATAATAACTAGGATAAGACCTGCGCCTTGCGCAGGGTGAATATATGTAATTAAAATATAAAAATTTAGTATTGACAAATTTAAAATTTACATATGATTGTTTTTGTATGTATTTGAAATTTAAGAATTTTGAAATTTTTATATAATTATCTATACGTAGGATCAGAAACAATTTTAGTTAGAAATGTAGATCAAATCTTAGAATTTAATGGATCTGATTTCATATATTCACTTTTAAATGTTCGAGTGATAGAAAATAAATGGAGTGTCACTGGGCTTGATTGGTAGAGTATTATCAACTGGTAAAATATTTGCATTTAAAATATATAAAGTTTCAAAAATAATTTAATATAATTTATTTATCTGTCTAATAATATTAGAAAATTATATTTTTTACAAATTATTATTTTTTAAAATAATTTATAAAAAAATTATGTTAAATTTTAAATTATTTTTAAAAACAATAATTTAAGTTTTTCAAATACAAATAAACAATTTAAAATTAATTATGGTCATGATTTAACATAACCATAATGATTTAAAAAATTAAAAATTAACAAATTAACAAATTAAAAACTAACTCAGTTTTATATCATGATTTAACAATTTAAAAATTAATTATGGTTATGAGAAGTTCACGTTCACGTGTCAGTCCTATTTATCTTCCATTTTTCTCTTGCTATGTTTTTTTTTATATTTTGGTTATTACTCTATATAAATATTTATTTTGAATTTTATTCTCATTTCAAGTGTTTTAGAAAATACTTAAGATTTAAAATAATTAAATATATACATACTTAGGTTAATATCTGCACTTTATGCACAATAAGTATTTTATATTTATTATTTATTTTATATTTTCTGCATATTATAAATAATAAAATAATAAATATATATTAAATAACTAAGAAATCAGTTACTATTATGTAATAAATTGGCGTATGCATATAAATTTAACTATTACTCTTGTTTATTCACAATAAGGGTAAATAAATCAAAATAGTAAATCTTATATATTGTATATGATATATAATTAAATTTAAATGATATAAACATAGTAATATAACACACTTTTAATATGGATATTTATTAAATGAGGTTTCTACTCATATGATTTTATGATTATTTGCATATTTGTGTAACAAAACTTTACACCAATGATTTTTTTTTAATGTGAGATGTTTAGTAGTTTCAATAATTTATAATCATTTTAAAAAAAACAATGACATATTTCAAAATTAAAATATTAACTTTTCAATATATGTTCAAGGCAAATATCAAAATATAAGTATGTAATTTCATACGATGTATAGTTTAATTAAAATGATATTAAATATATATAAACTAAAATTATTTCTTCATATGGTCTTATAATCATTATATTTTAGTATAGAAAAAAAATTAAAACCTTGATCTTAAAATTTTATGTGGGACTTCTAACAGTTTTAGTAATTTATACTCATTTTGAAAAATTCGAAATACAACATACACAAAAAATCTATATTTTAATTATATGATTAATGTAATTTTGTAATTTATTTTAATAATAAAGAAATAAACAAAATGAAAAAAAAAGTATACAGATTGTTATCAAATCTTTATGTTTAAAATCATTAATTCTCATATATATATTTTGATCACATTAGGTAATTCCGTAGGTTTTATTTAAGGAAAGTATGCGAAACAATAAATATTTGATATATGCGACCAACTATAGCCTACGGAATATTATATTGCTAGAGAATATAATTTTTAAACTATACATTATATCACATGCTCTAGAATCCTTGGAATTTGAAATAGAAGCCAAAGATCTATGCCACGTAGGATTGTGGTTATTTTTAATTCTTACAAACTTAAGGTTACAACTTTTTAAATGATTCTCAAATAATATATAGGGGATGTGATTTTGGTGCACTTCAAATACCACGGATATCGCCAGCCCGCTTTTGAAGATCTTTAGCCACTTTCTTAGTGGTCTCGACAGTGAACCAGCGAACGTACGAAGACAGCAGTGGCAAATCCCAAGGAGACGCAGGTCTAAAACTCAGGTCCACGTTAACCTTGGACGCAATCAATCCTTTTCCACCACTACATTTTCTGTATTCTTTTTGAGTCTTTGGCTTCATGTGCTTGCACAAGCGTTCTGCATCAACATAGACTGGCTCCACTTCATACACACACTCGAACGATTCCATTAACCTTATTCCATTTTGCTGTTTGATGTAGTGTACCTACCGAAAATAAGCAGGAGAAACCCTAATTAAATTTTCCAAGACTTGAACAAAAACATTGGTTCTCATGGGAGAGAGAGACATTTCTTACATAAAGTTTGTTTGGGTCTTCCATGGCCGTTAGACCTATTGGGATAGTTCCTGACCAGAAAAGGAAGTTCCATGCCAACTCTTTCTCAACCTCCACCTCTAAGTCACCTTGATCCTTCTCTTTAGTAACTTTTCTTGATACGGCTTTCTTCATAAGCAAAAAGTAACCTTACTCACTAAAATATTGCTTTTCTTCTATTATTTTTGGTACAACTATATAATGGTAAAGTTACAGATATAAACCAGAAGTGGGCGGCCTTTGATTTTTCTTGAGTATGTTTTGTTGTCTTGATTAGTTAAAACGTCGTAAGCTGCTTGAGGTGGCAATCCTATTGTAAATTCCATTTTCATATGGGAAATGTCAGAATCCTTGGCTGTACGCACCTTCAAATATTGGAAAAGATCAAATGAAATTATGGATCTTTATTTCTTAGAGCATGTACAACGGTGTATTAACGCAAGTCCTTAGATATAATCCTTAAGTTAATTGAATATAATATTAATATAAACCTAAGAAAAGCTACGGACTCATCCTTAGCTAAGGATTAATTTCAGTTGGTCCTTCTTGACGTGGCAAGTGCAAGTGATACGGGTTTCATGACTTTTGTAAAAACAACTCTCATTTCGAGACGAAACTGAAAAAAAAAGTTGTCTCCGATAGAAGGGATTGTGCTCACCTCGGATTAGAAGGTAAATCGAAGGGTTGTCTTGTTGATTTGTGGATTTAGATTAGGTTGCATGTTGTTTTCTTTGCAATATAGGGTTCGGATTACGTTTTTCAATCGATTTGGGTTTAGGGATTTTTGAGATTTGTTGATTGAAACATTTTGTTTGTGAAAATCGTAAGGAAATCGAAGCTGTATCGGTTCGATAAAGAGACGATTCAGTGGAAGGAGAGAGGTGGTGGTACTGTGAAGCTCTGTCTGTTTGCTTAAGGAGAGAGATGGTGGTACTGTAAATCTTAAGGAAATCGAAGCTCTGTCTTTATCTTCTCCTTTTGGAACTGTTTTTTGCAGTGAAACAGGGGATGAGTGTTCAGGAACATGTTGGAAATGAAAAGTCTTGTTCTTATGGATTCGTTTATATAATAAATTATTTATTCTGAGTATTTCAATTTTTTGTGTTTGTGGGATTTGGGTAATGTGTTCTCGTCTGCGTTTAGTTTTGGAGATAGTTTATATTTAGTTTATGAGTTATGTGTTTAGTTTAGGTTTCTCATAGCGTTTTTTTTTTGTGTTTATACAGATGGTGAAGCTTAAAGCTTTTGACAAGTTTGACAACACGTCTGACGCTCTTGAAGCTGTGGCTAAGTTGTTGGAGGGAGCTCCCAGCAAGGGTCTCCGTAAGTTTCTGAAAGCTAACTTATATATGGGTTAGGGGCTCAAGACTTGGCTCCTTCTCTTGCATCTCCTTATGCTTAGTTTTTATTTGGCAGGTTGATACAATGATTATCCAAGCTATTGGTCTGCTTGATGATCTTGACAAAGAGCTCAACACTTACGCTATGAGGGTTCGTGAATGGTACGGTTGGCATTTTCCCGAGCTTGCCAAGATCATAAGTGAAAATATCCTATATGCTAAGTCTGATAAATTAATGGGAAATCGGGTTAATGCAGCAAAACTAGACTTCTCTGAGGTAAAGCCTCAATTCAATGGTTTCATTATAGACTGCTTTAGAGCCTTTCCACATAGTATTACACTTTCTTCACAGTGTATTCAAGCTTGATAGTAATACAGTTATCATGTTCAGGAGTTGTCTATGGCTGCTAAATTATGCTTACGTTAAATTAGAAAGAGCCAACGATCTTTTGGTAGTTAGGCATGTGTTTCGGCTGTATCTAATTTGATATGCCATGAACTTAACAGTTTAGGCTAAGATCTACTTTTTTATACTGGGTTGTATTATTTTCAATGGTTTGTAAAGATGATAATGTCATGAACTGATGAGTTTTTATAAAAAAATTTCACAAGTTTCATGTATAATTTATTATTTTTTTATTCCTAAGGACTTCTAATTGGGTAATACCATTGGACACATATTTTTGATTAAAATCCTTAACTAGTTAAAAAAAGAAAAAAATACTAAAATAAGGCTGAGGACTCCAATGGTGATAACACCATTGGATATGCTTTTAGCTCTATATGTAGAGGCAAATGTTTTTTAATATTTTTTTTTGCTAATAAAATGTTTTGTAATATTGTTAGACGATTTGATGTTACCTTCACGGTAGGAGGAGGTTCATGATATTGTTCCTTCTTATTTGCATCTCTCCATAATTTTAATTGCTCCTTCGTCTCATCGCTCTCCTCGTGAGTTTTTGCCTGTGTCTTTGGCTTGGATTTAACGTTTTTTTCAGATTTTGTAGGATGTTGTGTGTTCTGACTGATCCAGGCACCAAATCTGGGGAATATACCCATTTTACTCTCTGAAAATGTATCCCCCAAAGAGATAATTGCCTTACCGGGGGAAAATGTCAACGGGACAAATCATGTATTGTATAAACTATATGGTTTCAGGGACCTTAGAAAAAAAAATTAAATTCAGATTTAGACGATCGACCACATATATAACTGAAAGAATAGAGAAGGTGAAGTGTACCTTACGTTAACGTACCACCGAGTAATAGTGAAGCATATCAAGGCAACTAAAGTCTCGTGACTTCTTTCTTGACGTACAAGCGAGAGTTAAAAGAATATTGAACACGACCACTAGGTTACTTGCCAGTAGACGTGCGTTGCAAATCAATGAGCTGATACATTTTAACACAAAGTTAACAGCGAGACTTAACAATCTCGAGACAACACTCCCTGGTGCTAAATTTGTCTACATATACATGTATAATTCTAGTCTTGATCTCATCACCGATTCTAAGGCTTCAGGTAACTGCATTACTCAGTGAAAAAAAACCAAATATGTACCTTGCATCGTTATAGTTGTTTCCAAGAATAATAATATGTTATTTGTTTTTGGTCTAAAGAATTGTGTCAAGCGGTGATTCCGTCAGTTGTTTCCAAGAATAACGATGACGGAATCGAAAGCTGATATCGTGAAGATAACGCTGAATTCTGATCTAACTTTATTGACAGAGCGGAACTTCTATGTGATTGTCTGATAGTGTTTTAAAGCTAAACGATGATTTCAACGCAAACTTCTATGTGATTGTCAAACTTAATCTACAATGACAAAATTAAGGTTACAGCTCTAACACATGATTACCATCTGCCACTAGTCTGATAGTTACCTTACATACACAAACCAGAAACGTACTGGTTGAACTTGAAACATCTAACCATTGAAACCAAAGAACGGCAACGCCAAGTTCTATGTGATTGTCAAAATCTGAGAAGCTTAATCTATCAGCAGCTGATCCAGCAGTAGCATGAACCAACCAACCTTCCTCATCACCACCAACCCTCTCCGGCGAAACCTCCACCAACGTCAGTAAAAGGCACATTCATCAATATCGTCGTCGTATAAGAAGCATAAAACGCACCAAACCCTTCCTCACGCATAACCCTCTTCACACAATCCCACACCTATCTGCAGCCTCTGCTTCACCATATCCATCGGTGTAAACACCGCATCGCTCGAAACCGTCGCGAACACACCCGACACAGCATGCACGGTGGAATTATTTGAATCTCCTCCGGAGGGGGAAGATAGAAACTTTGTCTGTCTCTGTCCAATCATAGTTTTAAACGGTTTCCGACGGAAAAAAACAAGGACTCTCCACTATGGTTTCTCTATACTCCTCTTCCACCATCAAAGCTTCTCTTCTTTCTTCGTTTCTTCCTCTTCGATCACCACCATCACTCTCTGTTGGATCTCAAATCCATCTTGGAAAGCACAATCACTCTGTAGTCTCTGGTGTTGTCTCGATGTCAACAAACACAGATTCTCATGGATCGTCTTCGAATGTCCGTTCTAATGAAGGCATTTCTTTTACTTACTACACACAACCCTAACATAAACCAATCAGATGATGCCAACGAATTAAGGATTTAATCACAATTAAGGAATCATTTTTACCGGGCTCAAAAATTATAATCTTTTTTAAATCAATTTCGCCTAAGGATTGAGCTTAAGGATCCGATTAAATCATGCGTTGCGGGTCCTCTTATGACACTCACACACACACACACACACACACACATATATATATATATAGTATAATAATTTATGCTAGTGTTTGACATGTTTGTTGCTTGAAGCTCTTATAAGAATTGTACTAGATTTTGAACCCGCACTTCATTTTATAAAAATATAACAAAATCTTTCGGATATATCATTTACATTTTATTTTTATATTGTATAACTATAGAATCTTATTATTTTAATTATTTTATATAATATATTGTTGTCATTTTTTAAATCAAATATATTTTTTTAGATAATGTATTTGTTGTGAATTATAAAAATATATGTCAACTTTTTTTGTATAAAAATNTTTACATTTTATTTTTATATTGTATAACTATAGAATCTTATTATTTTAATTATTTTATATAATATATTGTTGTCATTTTTTAAATCAAATATATTTTTTTAGATAATGTATTTGTTGTGAATTATAAAAATATATGTCAACTTTTTTTGTATAAAAATATTACATGATTTAAAAAAATTAATATGTTTTAACAGTGAATAAAAGAAAATTTTAAAATAAAATATTTTTCTTTACCAATTTAATAAATTTTTATATTAATTTCACATAGCATTTTATTTTAATATAATATAGAAAATCATTAAATTATAAAATATACCAATTTTTATTTTTAATTATTAATATATATATATTAATCACGAAATTAAATAATATATATTTTATAAAAATATTTAACTTTCTTGGTAAGATCTTGTTAGATATTTTCTCAACAGATTTTGTTATAAATGAAACTAAAGATAACTTTATAGTTATATATTATTAAAATATTTCTTAAGTAATATATATTTGGTTGATTAATATAAATAATCAAATATGTTATATTAATGAAATAGTCTAATATGACTTTTTGTAGTAGATATAAATGGTACTTCTCTTTTAATATAGAAGACTAGATCTCGACCCGCACAACCGTGCGGGTATTTTAATACGAAAATATGTAAAATTATATAATATTCCATCCGTTTCAAATTAGATAATGTTTTAAAAGATTTATTTTGTTTCAAAATATAAGATGTTTTGAAATTTTTAGGAGTATCTTGAGGTTTTAAGATTACTTTTAACTATATTTTAATTGTTCAACCAATAAAATGTTACTTTTTTTTAGTAATTGGTTGAATGATTTTAAAATTATCTTTAAAATACTTTTGTAAAATAATATAAATTTCTTTTTTTTAATGATCCAAAACATCATATATTAAGAAACAGAGAGAGTAAAATTTATCAATAAATAATTATAATTTGTAGTCTATATACTATCCAGTTTTATAATAATATTTACGTGGCTTATAATATTATTAATATAAATTTTATAATAATATTTGTAACAATTTTAAAAGACATTATTATGTAACATTACTAATTTATATATTTTCTTTTATTTATAAATTTAAAATATATGTAAAAAGTAAATTAAGTTGGACCTACATAATACATAAACAAAATTTTGGGATATTGTTAAAAGTAGTTCACATAATTTTAATTTTTTGTATATAAATAAAAAAAACAAATTAAAATTTTTAATTATATTTTATGATAATTGAAAGTTTTAATCAAATAATTTTTGAAACTATATCTTGAAAAGATTCTAAAAGATTTTTAAAAGATTTGATAGAATTTTCTTAAAATTATTTATTTGTATTTCAAATAAAAATCAAAGATATGAAAAGATATTATAATGATGTAATGTAAAATTTTATAAAATTTCTAAGATAAACTAAAAAATCACACATGAAGTGAGTCATGACTTCTCTTTTAATATAATAGATTAGGTAGACGACACGCACTTATGTGCGAACATTAATAATGTTTTTTTAGCATGATTGTTACATTTATATGATGTATATTTTTTTATGTTAACATATCAAATTTATGAATGTTTATATGTATTATTAATTATTTATACATGTTTATATGTATTACTAAAACGATCATATATAATTTGATGGAAACAGAACTATAGTCATAATATAATCGCATTATATGACATTAAAAAACATGAGACTGATTGTTTGATACATATGCAATATAAAGAATCACACCAAATAATTATGCCATATGAAACATCACACCAAATAATTATGCCATATAAAGCATCACACCAAATAACAATATAAAACATCACACCAAATAATTATGACAAACACATGCTCGTGGTTGTCATGTTTGTTGCTTGAAGCTCTTATAAAAGCTGTATATGGTATTTATAATAAGGAATCTAGAGATTTTATTGAGGTGAACTCACTAGGTTATATGTTTGAAATTTGTCATTTGAATAAGATGAAACATAAGTTTGTATATAAATAAGAGAGATTTAGTGAATTATCCATATTTGGACCTTATATTAGTAATCTAACCATGATTTGACATAAATGTACAATTTTATATATATTGGATTTGGTTGGACGATTTTGTCATTCTCACCTTTTTTTTTCTTAGACAATCTCTCTCTTTCTGAGGATTATTTTCTTCCCTTCTTTCCTATTTTCTCTTTCTTCTTTAAACCACATATTTTTCTATACACATCCATCTCTTTTTTTACAGTCTCTTTTTCTCGAATTTTTTTTCTCATCTAAAATTTTTATGTGTAAATCATTTTTTCCAGCATAAAGCTATGTTAGTATGCTTATAAAAAAATGAAAAAAACTGGTAAATACTTTTTCTGAGTTTATGATGAATTACATTATAACTCATCAATAATTTGACCACCTAACATGTTACAAAATAAGCTAACGAGTTAATAAATTTTGTGTCAGAATGCAAATAAGTTAACCTGTTACAAAATATGTTAATGAGTTAACAAATTTTGTAACACGATACAAGAATTGTTAACATTAAAATAACATTAACTATAATCTCGCCAACATAATACAAAATTTGTTAACATTAAAATAATATCAATTTTTCTGGGTTTATGATGAACTACATTATAATTCATCAATTATCTGACCACCAAACATGTTACAAAATATGTTAGCAAGTTAACAAAATTTGTAGGAAAAATTGCCAAATATGACTCAAAACTTGATTTGAAATGCAAAAATAAATCCAAACTTGAATCAAATGCAAAAGTAACTTAAGAGGCTATTGAAATTACAACCAACCCCTTGTGAACAAACAAAAAAGGTATTTTTTTTACATTTTTAGCCCTCGTAAGTCGTCTGCCCAAACGACTTTCAACTAAGTCGTCGAGACGACTTAACTTAAAGTCGCATGGGACAGTTTTCCTTAAAAATAATTTTAAAATTGTGTAAT